TATGAAATAGAGAAAACATCGAAAGCGTGCTCTTATGTTATATGAATACACGTGCCCATATGTATCAAGCATTTATTTATGTGTCGACGTATCAAGAATGGAAGAATGTGACAATCATATTTGATATTTTATAAACTTAGACGTTGTATCTTAAGACTTCGTCTTGAAATACTATAATAAAAGTACTCAATGCTATCTAAGACAGCACTTATATCTTATTGAAAACCAATTTTGAGGTTAGCATTTCCAATACTCGCGTTCTATGTCAAATGATGACATGTATATATGTATATATATGTATATCTAACATAGCTCTTTGTCACGAGAGGTGAACAATGATTATATTTGCCAACCTTGTTTGGGGAAGCCACTACACAATGCCTATGGGCGAAAATGAGGAGTGTTTTTGTTCGATTTTTTAGGACGACATGGATAAATCGACTGCACTGGATATGCTATGTCCGTTGTGTTTGATTTTCAAACATAAAATGCAAGAAAGCGCAATGGCTCTCATATGTGAGAGCCATTGCGACTTTTAAGGAAAAAATCCAACAGCTCTACTAGAGTCGGTGTGGGGTGAAACAATATTCATTTTTGTCCTATTGCATTTTTAAGACTTTTCCTTTTTTGGGGTAACTAGAGATTTTAGAGGTACTTTCAAAAATTACCTTTATAAGTTCAATGCGTCTTGGGTTATTATTAAGAGAAAAGTTTATATAGAACTGACGCTCTAAACAATCAAATTTGAGCCTACCTCAAAAATTTCACTAGAATTGGTTATTTTGATGCCTAAATATCTTCAAATCGATCATCTCGACATCAAGATGCATGGACATGAGAAAAATTAGATTTCTAGTTTTGGAAATAGTATATTTTGTAATGTAGTTTTGGACCGTCAATTTTCAAGTTTTGATAGATTTGTCGATCTACACAATTTTTGAAGCTTTAAACTTTATAAATAAATATGAAATATTTTAAGGCTATCATAAAGGTTTCAAATATTGAAACCATAGTTCTCAACACTATTTAAAGGTAGGCTCTAATTTAATTATTTAGAGCCTAGGCTCTATACAAACCGCATTTTATTATTAAATGTATTTCCAAGAATACCACGCGCACACACATACATACATTGGTGTGTCAGTGTAATTGCACTCACGTTATTCCTAAAGCGGTGAAGGTCCCCCAAATTCAAGATATTTGTGAGTAGTTTTTTACAACCAATAGATTTGGATTGGGAATCACCTTTCCGAATCTGAAAAGAGCCGGGACCTAATCGGTTCTTGAAAGTGTGTGTACGTATATGTGTGTGTATGTGCTTGATGGAAATATACATTGATATGCCACATATAATAGTACTCACATCATCCCTAAAGGGGTGAAGTTCCCCCAAATTCAGTAGTTTTTTAAACAACCTGCAGATTTGGAATTCCTATTTGGATTTCAAAACGGTAAGGACCTAATAGATTCTAGGAAGGTATCGGTATAAGCTTGGTCTTTTCTTTAAATCTCCTTTCATATTTCTTTTTTTAAAGCTTACCTAATGTTTTTTAGGCCTCACCGTAAAGCACTGTCTTTAAAATAAAATAAAATAAAAACCTATTTTATTTTTTTATTTTTAGTATTTTCTAGATTCCCATTTTGAAACGATCCGAATCGGCGTGCTGACATAGATTTGTATGGTGGACAATGCATTCCACTAATTCGGGTTTTGAAATGTTGCCTATAAGCAACATTGGATTTTTATTGCTAGCAATGTCCACATATATTGACACGACACTAAGCCCAACATGGAGTGTCTTCAATTACTCCTTACCTATATAACATGGATATATGAATGGAAAAGGTATACGTTGTCCGGTAGCAAGTGTCACAATATGTTGTCTTGAGTTTCATAATTACTAGAGAGAGGGGACTCCTTCCTTACTAATCTACCCCAAAAACTTTATATATATATATATATATATATATGTCGCCCAACATGAAGTGTCTTCAATTACTCCTTACTTATATAACATGAATATATGAATGTAAAAGGTGTAGGTGGTCCCGTGGCAAGTGTCACAACATGTTGTATTGGGTTCCATAACTACTAGAGAGAGGGGACTCCTTCCTTACTAATCTACCCCAAAAACTTAAAATATAGACATGCACATATATATATATATATATATATATATAAACAAATAAAAAATGTAATATTCATGTTTAATATTTTATATACTTGGATATCTCATCATTAACCTTTTTTCTTGAAATCCCACTATAAAGTCCTTAATATCATATAAAATCTCACTTTTCCCTTTCTTTGAATAGTTTATAAACATGTTGGGGCTAATAACCAATTTTGATACTAACATTTCTAAAAACAGTAGTGTTCCATGTCATATTACGATACGATACATGTATAAGCATATGTATCTATCTTACATTCGTTGTATTTCCTAGCTAATTTTTGAGTGAAGATAGATTTTAGAGGTTAAAAATAACATTTTATAAGTGCAAATGTATCTTTGGTTATTGTTAGATATATTTCTAAGTATAACACATATAGATGATGGCCATATACAATGATGTGTCACATATAGTAGGGTAGTGATTGTACATTAAACACAATTATTTTAATGTTATTTATTTCTAAGAATAACACACATAGATGATGGCCATATACAATGATGTGTCACATATAGTAGGGTAGTGATTGTACATTAAACACAATTACTTTAATGTTATTTATTATCATACCAAATGACTAAAATACCCTTTTCTATAATGATGCAATTAGTGTTAAAAAAACAAACCGGTCTCGAAAACCGCCCAAGGTCTGGGTCTGAGTATCCGATAAACCGGCAAGTTCAACAGGCCTAATTGGGTAGGTCTTAACCGGTCCAATAAGTGTTAAAATGCAAAAATACAAAAAATTACAAAAAACTATGAAAATCTTATTTTATAACATGATTAATTAAAGCACATCCAAATGAAGTTAAAAAGTAACGAAAAAAATGGTTTTAAGAAATCGATTTGGGCCCAAATATATTTTTGAAATTTAAAAAAAAAAGACAAAAAAAATGTAAAAATAAGTATTCGTAACCAAAATACTTTCCAACCTTTGCTAAAATGATAAAAAATATTTTAAAATACAATGCAAACAAATCTCTTATTTTTTTTGGATTTTATGTATATATTTTTAAAATTTTTAAATTCTCAGCCATACCACTAAAACCACCCAAAACTAGATCAGTCAGTGCTCGGTTCCCGTTTGACACACCGGTTCCAAGTTGGACCGGCCGAGTTTGTGAACACGATGCAACAAAGAAAAATGGTAATCAAAGTTTACAAAATTTGCATATGAGAATACTAATCTTCACCTCCCACAATATGAACACAATGTAAACTTACTCCTTTGGCAATATTTTGAGAAAAACATTGAGTTCCTCGAGACTTAGATTTGATAGTCGAGAATCGGGTGGTCTCTATTCAATCTTATTTCGATGCATAATAAATAATATAAATAGTATTTTGATATAATAAATTGCCCACTACCAAAAATGTCATCCTCATGAGCACCATGTGTATGAGTAATGAAAGAAAGTTAAAAAAAAAACAAAAGTGAAAATTAAAACAATTTGAGGAACTTGAAAACAATAGAGAGAGAGAAATTTCAAATATATATATATATATATATATCGAGAGAGAGAGACTTTTGCATGGAACAATTAAAAGTGAGAAAAATGGAAGACCAAAGACAATAAAAAAGGGAGCTTGAAGATGAGTAAAAATAAATCTTAGAATAAGATGAAGGTCAAATCATAAAATAATGAAAAGAGGAAAGAAAATGAAGAAGCAAGAAATCATAAGGGATGCCTAATTAGGAAATCTATGTGATACCATTAAACAAGTCTATGCTTTAGTTTAGGATAAATATTTCTTAACATTTGTCCCTTTCAATAAACATTCATCCACTCATTAATCCATGATTATCCCCTCAATAATTGCCAACATTGAACCTAATATACAAAAAAAGAAAAAAAAACAAAGAAATTGAAAATTTTGAATCCATACACAAAGAATTGCCTTTCTATAAAATTTGGGTACATGTCACAGACAAGCCTAACCTTTCAGAAAAAAGGAAAAAAAGAAAAAAGTTCAAAGACATGGTTTCCCTTTTGATTTCTTTTTGGAAAATGCTCTCCTAATCACCTCCAATCTAAAGCTTTACTTCCCAGTCTTTTATCTATCTCTCTCCTTCCAATCCAAAGCCATGAGCACTTTCCATAGTCTTTAATCTGCATTCTTTCTCCATAATCTCTAGTTTTGTTTTTGAATTTTGTGTTTATTCAATGACATCCTTACAATTGCCTATTTTGAAACTTAAAAAACAAGAATAATTATAACCTCCTTGTATAAAAAATAAATAGTCATTTTGTTGACAATGCCATCTTTAATTTTGTACATACACTCTCTCTCGATCTCTCTCTCCATCGTCTTCAACTCTCTCTCTCTAGTCACCTCCAATCATGTGAAAACTTTTCGATTGTGGTTATCAGGAGCATCTATACTGTGCTCCTTTTTCTATTCCCTCGTTCAAGAGACTTGCTTGGGATGATTTATTCAATTTGAAGTTTTGAAAACCAGTTAAGAATTACTAGATAACTATTTTTAAAAGAAAAAATTTATAATTCGAGTTTTTTAACACCTAGATTTTACTATTTAAAAATTGGATGGACTCTATTCAATCTCGAGACAATCTTTTTTTAGAGGGTACATAATTTCTTTTATTAAGGTTAATCTATGGGTTGCTACTCGTGGGGAGTAGAATATCGTTAGGCTATTTTCTCTCTTTCATGTACTTTGTGGTCTTTGGTTAGAGGGGTATTGATTGATATTACACAGAAATAAGGGTGTTTTTGGCATTACAGAAGTACTTGGGACTTTAGAGTCTTATAATTAAAAGAAAGGGGCTGTCTCGTCATTTACTTTTCGTTTTTATGCAAATCCCCCATTTTCTTCGTATTTTTCTGTTTCTCGTAGCTCACTAAGGAAACCCTAGTTCTCTTCCTGATCTCCCTAACAGTCTTCAAGGTACATCAAAACTTTGATTTTTGTCCTTATTTATTCTTTTTTTTGGGTTTTTTTATTGATTCCTGTTGAAAATTAATATTCGATGGTCAGTCCATTAATTCCCCTTTTCTTTTCTTTTTTTTCTTGTTTTTTTTTCTAATTTTTGGATTTTATTGCAATTTTTTCTGTAAAAAAATGGCTGGGATCTGTTAAAGAATGTGGCTTTGAAGTTATTCTAGCATTAGACTGTAATTTCTTCGACTATTTCATTTTTCCCATCGAATATTTACGTAATTTCTCATTAGAAGTGGTTGATGTTTGTTATAGATCATGGCTTTGCGGGTATATTGTTGTTAAATTATTATTATTATTTTTTTCTGATTTGGATCTTTGGACTTGTGCATAGTTGGGAGAAGGATTGTTAAGATTTGTGGGAATGGCTATTGCTGATTTTATTCTCTTTTTACTCAGAAAAAATATAATTTTTTTCCTCAAATTAATTATTTTTCTTGTTGGAATTTGGATTTTTCAGCTCATTTCAATTATCTTGATTACTGGGTTGAATCTCTCTTCCTCTCTCTCTCTC